CAACTAGGTTGGTTATTTTGATTTTAAATAAAACTTAAAAAACTTTCTCTATCTCGTTTTAAAACCGAAAAGAGACAGAAATAAAGAGAATTTTAAGCCTATTTAACTAACCTAAGGCCTTCTATAATAGAATCATAAGTAATAAGCCGCAAGAAATTAATCAATCATAGTCGATTATTCTTCTCACATAACTGTAATTGACCAATTTCTTACGATTGTGACTCTTTGTAGAACAGGCATAATTAAGTGTTACGACAATTCGTATGCTTAGAATCTTAAGAGGCTAATATACGATCCTCTGATTGGTTCGTGACTTCTTAAGACTGTACTTAAGACAGTCTTGAAGAATAAGATCTGACTATGAATACCGAATTATGTGTGATTTCCGATCCGCAGGAATTTATTTTCCTATGTCCCTTTGAGCGGAACTTGCAGATCAATGCGAGCTATTGACAAATTCTATTCTGAAGCCCTATTGTCACGTTCGTAATAACCTCATTTTTTTGTCCAATGACTATTTCCAAACATATTCACTAACAGCCCTGAATATACACGCGGACATCTCTTGGAATGTATCTGACGCTTCTCCATATCTACTAATGGCGGCACAGACAATGAAAGGGGATCTCAGGGACGCCCACGAAAATAGTGTTTTCAGCCCGATCGGGCATTAACTTGAGTTAGAAAATGCTTCGCTATTGATTAACGTTACATGCTGTACCAATAGGAGAGCACAAAACATCATTACTTTAACCCAAGTTAGTGTAAACTTGGTCGAACCGAAAACTAGAGAGATCGCAGAGTAATAGTGTCATTATAATATAAGTACATACAATTTATTATACTAAAATTTCCATAAAAAAAGAGGAGATGTTGGTAGCAACGAAAACCTCTCATTGCAATTTAATTTTCAATGGAGTAACATGGTTTAAGTAGTATCTGTTAGTTTAGAGATTCTTCCGGGTAACCTTTTTGACATATGTGATATGCGTACGCGTAATAAATATGTAATAAGTATCTTTTAAACGTAAACGTTCAATATATTGTGGCATAAAATTAGAATTAAATGAAATAAAAATCACACAAATAACTGAAAATATGAAGTGCACAGCATTTGTACAAAATAAGCAATAAATCTAAATTTTATTTAGATTTATTTATTTCTATTTCTTTCCAAATTGAATATAATTGATTCTCTTTCTGTTTCCAGGTATCACGGTTGAATCTCACCCAAAAATTTGAATGTTTTATAAAGTTTCTAACATTTTTTTTATGCTCATAAGAAAATCTGTAAATCATATTGAATTTAAGAAGAAGTATAAATATTCTAGAAAAAGGTATTCGCAATGAAGCGACTTAAAAATTCAATTGTCGAATGGTCTTGGAAAAAAATAGAAATAAACGTGAAAAATTTGAATTTATTGCTTATTTTCCCTAACAGCGCAAAGTCGACTCTAAATTGACTCTGAGTCGACTATAGCTTCTAGACGTCTGAAAAATGGTCGTCCGTAACTTTAGACGACGTCTCTTGGAGATGTCTCTAAGTCATACAATGTCTCACTTTAAAGACGACTGTAAGCCGACTTTAAGTCAACTATTCTAAGCTATGGTCCGATCCCACGACGCTCATAAACAGCATTCATTCTTTAACTATAACAACAAGGATGAAATGATTTCACATTTAAGTTTTATGAGCGTAAACTAGATATCCTCGGACTAGATATCCTAAAGTCGATGTTAGAAGGACATCTGTACAAAGTCGACTTACAATCGACTCTAAAGGCCTGACTTAGTAAAGTTAACTTACAGTCGACATATCGACTGTACGTTTGTACTGTTGTATAAACTGTCCCAACTCTGTGGAAAAAAGGAAATAAATTAATGAATATTTTACTACTCTATTCTTTTTTATTCATCTTATTCTCTGCACTTCATATTTTCAGTTATTGTGTGATTTTTATTTCATTTAATTCTAATTTTATGCCACAATATATTTAACATTTACGTTTAAAAGATATTTATTACATATTTATTACATACGCGTATGCATGTCAAAAAGATTACCTGGAAGAACCTCTAAACTGACAGATTTACTATTTAAACGATGTTACCAATCCATAAAAAATTAAATTGCAATGTCTAGAGATTTTCGTTGTTATCAACATTATCCCCTCTTTTTTTATGGAAACGTAGTTTAACCGTACAGTATATTGAATGTAGAGTGAATATGAAATTTAAACCAAGTTTGATCTAGGTTTTTTTTTAGAGATCGCTTTAATTTCACAATGTTCAGAATTTAGTTGTATCCGTGTTGTTTTGTTTACTTTAAGAGAGAGAGAGAGAGAGTGCGTGAATAGCAGAATGATGATATCGCGATTTGCAAGCGTTTTGATCGTCCCTTTTTTTCGGCGGACATGATGAACTCATCAACGCGATTCTATTAAATTCTGTAATATTCTGCATAACAACTCAATAATTTGTATTATAAGCGACCTTAAAGGTAATCTGTATGAACGTATGAAGACGTATAATATCGGATGTATGTATTAATAGTAACTTAGAAATGTTTAAAACTGTTTACTGTATATGCAATTTGTTCATTGACTGCAGAAAGCAATTATAGCGGTGTATTGTCAAATTACAGAATTAAACGTTTACTATTACAATAATTAAATGCATTTTAAAGGTTCAACAGTGTGAATTATATTAATATTATATTTGGTGGCTAAACCTGGAATATAGTCACTGTCTACACTAAGCGTCTGCACCTTTGATGTAATGGGTCGCGATTCTGTCTACTTTCTACACTATCTTTACACGCTTACCGATAGTTATCAGTGTTGTTGCACAGATATTTTATATTTTTAGTGAAAAAGCTGCGTAACGACACTATTCAATTGTCGATAGATGTGTAATATTATAAATTAAATTATAAATTATGGATCGCGTCCCAGGTCATATGACTCATCGCCATGTTGTGGGTTGGAAAGGCGCTTATAAATTTGAGTTTTTATAAAACTACAGAATGATTTTTCTAAAAAAAAAAAGACATAATTCGATCGTCATGAAAATTGTTTATGAAGGGAATATTTTAAATCGGAATTATATAATAATATAATATTAACGAACTCATTATATAAAAATAATATTCACATTAATAATAATAATAATAATAATATTAAACACTAATAAGTAAATTAAAAATATAATTGATTAAATACTACATGGAAATTGTAATTGAATAATTATGTATAAAAAAATAATATATTGCATGAAAATTGTAATTAAATGCGAAGTTGTAATTTAATAATATACATACAGACACACACGCACGCACGCATGCATGCATACTTTATTACAAGAATATGTAGAACAGTAATTGCGATCGAATTAGTCTATGTGTGCACGAATAAATGAAAGAGATGAAATCATTCGTTTTTCGTGATCTTCCCTTTTTCCCGTTGGACTTTGGTGAGCTCACGCGTGTAGAGATATAATTAGAATAATTAATAGGATTGGTAAGACCTTTATTTTATTTTATGTCATTGTATTATTGTTTATTATTACAAGTTTATTATTAGAAAACTTCATATCAGATCTAAAAACCAATATTGTTCCTTGTCATAGGAGTTTGCTATGTCTTATTTATTTTAAAGTTCATTGAGTGTTCCATTAAACATTGCACACACATTAATAGAACTTACTATACTGACAATAAAATCATTTTTATTTTGAATATAAAATTTCGATGTTAATTCATTTAAAAGTAGATTAGATTGATATTTAACAGAATACTTTATCGTATACAAATATAACAGTCTACACAATGTAGTGTCTCCGAAAAAATTTGATTAAATTTTTTAGTAAAACTTAATTTTATTAACCCTTTGCCATTTCTCTTACAAATTAAAAAAAAATTAAGCTTTATTTGAACGACGTATCATGGCTCTCACCCGTGATACTCATGTTTAACCTGATTTCTTTATGAGTCTCACACAATATTAAACTTAATTATATTTTATTTGGGAAGGAAATTCAATTAACCTAACCTAACCTAACCTGCAATTTCAACTTGCTAAAGACAGCCACATTCCTAATTGGAAATCGATACATGCGCACTAAAAATTGATCATATAAAAAGTTCAGTGTTTATACTGTGGGTATAGTCAACGCGATGTTACAAACGCTTTGAAGCGTTTTTTAATTGGTCAGTTTGTAAAATTCTTTTTTCTAATTGGTTCATCAAACACTTCAAAGCGTTTGTAGCAAGACTTTGACCACAGCCTGTAAGTACTTATACCACAGTATAGGGATACTCCGTGTCAGCACCTTTGATCTCCGTGTCGCAGTCACGTGAGCATCCGTCATTTTAACGTTTGAAAAATCCAGAACGAAAGAGGATATAATGCCCAATGTGATAGTCCATTGCTTTGCTTTAAAAAACATAATTAAGAATGCCATGTAAACGTAATTAATGTAAAAATATTATATTTTTCACAAAATTATATTTGATTATGTTTAATTAAGTTAATCTAGCATAAACTACTTACTTTTTGTAAATTGTAAAAACTTATCTTATGATATCTTTGGGATAACGAAAAAAAGTGCATTTAAAATTTTTATTATTATTACTATTATTACATTGTTTAATACTGCATGTAACATAATTTTTCTTTTTTTTATCTATTCTTTAGAAATATTTATGACGCAGCTTTTAAATTGTCTTCTTTTGCCACGGATATCTCACACGGGATCTGTGTAATATACGTTCTTGTCATCTTGCATTTCATTGGATTCCGGCCCAAAAAGCTGCGTAGTCATACCTGCGCGAACACTCATTTTTTCGCTGAATGTCTCTACTGGTTATACTGTGCTTATATTGTGACGGCACTCTTAAAGCATTTTTTGATTGGTTAATCAAATATTTCGAAATATTCGTAGTGGCAATTCGATCACACTCTTTATTAATTAATAAATATAAATACGATTTTATTATAACTTCTTACAAAAATGGTTCGATATTGCATTTTATGTTGTAATCATGATAAAACAGTGTCTTACCACAAGTAAGTGTATTACACAACTCATAATTATCGATAAATACTTGTATTCTATGCTCGCATGTTTTAGGTTAAGTAAAATCATATTCCAATTCTTGCAGATTTCCAAAAGATATGCACATAAGGAAAAAATGGTTAGAGTTTTGTAATTTTGGTGAAAATTTTGCAGTTAAAACTTCCACTTATTTATGCTCAAAACATTTCACAGAAAAAGATTATCTTCTTACAGCAACTAATAGAATTTTAATGAGTGGAAGCATACCATCTATTTATCATGTCAAAAAAAGAAAAAGGTATGTACATAAAAAAAAACTGTATTATACAAAACAAATTGTTTGATTTGGTTATTTTTTTAGTTATATAAATATATATTATAATTGTAGCAATCAAAACTATAACAGCAAAGTTGAGATTGCAAAATGCTACAAAAATGAATATATGGTAAATATGTGTCAAGAGGAATCATGTTCAACAATGATAAATGTATGTGAGAAGGAACCATCATGTTCGACTGTAATAAATGTATGTAAAGAGGAACCATCATATTCCACTATAATAGTTGATAAAAATACGGACGAATTAATTCTTAAAGAAGAAAAAATTGATCATAGTAAGTTTCTTTAAATGATAAACTAGTGGCACATGATACACATTTTCTTACTGGATTGCTTGCGTTCTAATAAATTAATAAAATTGTATAATTCTAAATATATAATATAAATATAAAATGCATAAATAATTTCTACTAATTTACTACAATGTATGCGATCGAGCAAGAAAAAATGTAAACTGCTTTAGTCATATGACTCTTGAAGTATGATTTCACTATTTATTCTTTAACATGTATATTAAATATTTCGTATTCACGAGTGGGAATCTTAATTATTCAATACATGGGAATATAGTATTACGAATTATCATTATTGTTGATCAGATATTGATGGAATGTCGCCAATGGACTTTACTCATCCAAACTCTCCACATGAACCACGTTATATTGGCGATATTAGGATATCACATTTAGCTACACCACAAAAAGCTGAGAGAGCTTTAAATCTAGCAAAATTCACAGTAAAAAAACAAAGAAGGAAAATTTTAACTTTACAACAAACAACTACTAGATTGAGAAAGCGTATTAAAACCATGAAAACTTTGATAGATCATCTGAAGAAAAGAATGTTATATCAGATGATGCTGCTAATCGATTAATGGTACATTTTTACAAAATTGTACATAATAATGAATTGATATACAATCCAGAAATTAGTAATAATGCGATAGGATTAAGATTGATTTTGAATTGTACATTAAATAATAAAATATATACTTTTTTTAGACAATTATTTTAGACATAATTCGATCCAATGCGAGAAATTTTAAAACATAAAAAAGCCAGAAAAAGGAAATATTCACCTGAATTAAGAGCATTTGCACTTACGTTAAACTTTTATTCGTCGAAGGCTTATTATGTACAATTATGTACGAAAGAGTTCTTGTAATCTTTTACCTGAACCCTCTAATATTCAAAAATGGTATTTAGTATTGAATGCACGCCCTGGATTTACAGCTGAAGCATTTGAAACTCTAAAGTGTCAGGTTAAAATAAATAATCTTTTATGTAATAATAATTTTATGTAATCTCGTAATAGATAAAATAGGGATTCGACAAGTAATGATGGACAGAGATACTATGGACTCATTGATTTAGGGGTTGATCGTATTGACGTCTTTAACGATGAATTATTCACGTGGATTATTCACTTTATACAACAAACGCCTTAATTTTCATGTTCATTGCGATCAACGGCCATTGGAAAATTCCTGTAGGATATTTTTTGTTGAAGTCGTTAAATGCAACTGAGAGAGCTAGTTTATTAGAAAAATGCTTTGAGTTAATAAAAATGACAGGAGTAAAAGTATATTCTGTAACTTTCGATGGAGCTAGTCAATATAAATATGTGCAAATATTTAGAAGCAAATTTCAAATTAAGCTCTGTTTTTAAACTGTATTTCATCAATCCCATAACGAAAGAAAAAGTTTTCTTTCTATTTTTTTAATCCATGTTAAAATTAATACGAAGCACTTTGGGTGATTACAAAATTTTGAAAAGTAAAGGTGAAGATATTCATTGACAAGATATTGTACTTCTCAAAAGCTAGAAGAAGAAGAAGGATTATGCACTGGTATAAATTGACTAAAAAATATATTTTGTACCAAAACAACAGAATGAATATGAAAATAGTGGCTCAAATTCTGAGTGAAAGTATTAGTTCTATCAAATATTTACATGAAAGTTTTAAGTAGTTTTTTCTTCCAAAAATACAGTTAAATTCTGATGTTCAATAATGCTTTTGATATCTTGAACATGCGTAGTCAGTTTGCAAAGAGGACAATTTATAAAGTATCTTTAACGGATGAAAACTATGATGAGTTAAAAGCTCATGCTGATGAACAATACATCAGCGATTTTAAAACTGTACAAGACCTATTGATTCTAAAAATTCATGGAAAAGTTGGCTTTTTAGGATTCATTATCTGTTTAAAAAATATATTCGAGTTGTAGGTTTTGAAACAATTAGAACTGAATTATTTAAGCTCAATTAAGATTATTTGAAGATATATTTTAGCGCCATAAGAAGTTTCAATGACAATCCTAACACTCAACAATTTCAAACAACATGTAAAAGGTTGATAGGTATGAAATTAGTGCATCGGAAAAGGGCAAATTAATGATATGTCTATGATTGCCTAATTAATGATATCCATATTGCATGTATGTTCAACAAATAAATACTGTGATCCAATGTACACTGAATTGCATGATTCTACTAATATATTCATTGTGATGTATGTATAGGCCCGTTCTTTTCGGGTGAACTTTTGCACCAGTTCATTTTTTTTCCTCTTTCCTTTTGGAGAGAAAAGGAAGAAAGATGAAATGGTGCAAAAATTCAACCAAAAAGAACAGACTTTTATCAGTAGTTTTTAATAATAAAATAAAATAAAATTGACCTGTGATAAAAAAATATGTGAGATATGTGTCTCTTTCTTAACATCTACGAATAATACCTCAAATTTAATTACATTGAAAAACAGACGGAAATTAATGATTTCTTTGAAAGATGTAGTGAAAGTTACAAGCGCGAGCGACAAAATTATAAAACAGAAAAATCATCTTATATTTGTTAAAAAAAATATTAAAGATTTTTTAGCGTTAAAGATGGAATTTCACGCAGCGAGTAAAAGTTGCGTTTTATCTCTTTTCCATCAATTTTCGCTAAAATGGCGAATTCAGCGAATAAACTATGAGCGAAGCAACGCTAACTCTGGCTATGACCCACTTGATTGGCCAAATATTTCGAATATTTTTTGATTGGTCAATTTTTTGAATTGCTTGTTCAACGCTCCTTTATTCACGGCATAGGGAATAACTTCGCCAGCGAAACTTTGCTGGCTTCCAGAAAAGAAAGGAGGAATTTCACATATATCAATAATTTTTAATAGTTAAAAAAATATAGCTATTTAACTTTGTCTATTATATTTTTCGAATAATCAAAATAGATCAAAATTTACTTTGACTTGAAGAAGATTGATAATGAATATGCTCTGTTTTATGCGTCTTTTATTCTAATTATTTAACTAAATGATTTCAAACTTTTGTTGTATCAAACGGAACAAACTTATCATATTTACTTTAAAATATTATTTTTCGATGTATTTAAAAAATTAGAATTTCATTTGTAAATTTAATACCTTAATGTTGATCTAAATTATGACTTTTTCTTCAGTTGGAGAATAGCCGCATCTCCAATCAATGCAATTATTAAATACCTTATATACTTTATATATAAAGTACTGAAATAAAAAATGTGCAACGAAGAATTTAAATATAGGATTTTTCTAAGATACAAATTTGTGGCTATCGAGAAATATATACAAATCATAAAATCTTTTTTTAGAAATGTGTACGCGCGTGGGTGTATGTGTGGTACTATATGTATATACGTATGTGTATATATATATATATATATATATATATATGTGTGTATATATATATATAGATAGCGGAATCTAACGCTAAATTACATTGTGTGTCGATAGTCACAAACTAGAAATTATAAGTATAATGATTTCATTGTTAAAGACGGAAAATTTATTATCTTAGAAAAACTCTGTACTTGAATCTTTTATAACATGAATAAAAAGTAAGATATTGAGATATTGAGAGAAAAAGCATACATTTTATAGAGGATGAACAATACATTCATGACTTCTGATTACAATTTCGAGAATTCGTTAATCTTTTTTTACAAGAACATTTTAAATATAACAAAAGAGCCATTTTTGCACATTAAATCTCAGTTATTTAAAAAATCTGACGCGCTAGAAATTTAACTTGCAGCATCGTTTTCAGAATCCAAAAATCTATAAAAAATCTATAAAAAAAAGAACCTTATCTGATTAAAAGAAACATTTTTTTGTAAATTAATATTATCTTTATTCACAGTTTGTGAATGTAGCACCAAATCCATTTATCGACACTACGATTTTATTGACAGTGACCAAAATGTAAAACGTAGTTCACATCAATTTATAAAATTGATGTTGGTATCGTTATCGTACGGTGACTTTCGCCTGTCACGAAAAAGGCCACCATAGCTTTCTCAGGTTTCTCTTTGGTCTGACCACTCTTTATAATATTTATTAGGTACAACTTTGCTTCCGCCGTTTTCCTATAGATGGCTTTAGCGGTAAGTAGTGGTCGAAATAAATAGATCATAGACGTCATACAATAAACTTGGGCATCTGTCAACATAACCCCATAGAAACATTAGTCGATTTGTGTCTGCATAAAGAAAAAATTATTCTCGATTGAAAATGTCAGTTTATGCCAAATTCTCGTCATTTGCGGGAAGTTTTAATTTTTTGCTTCAATAGAAGAAATTTGTGGCTAAGGCTCATCGAATGCTCTCAAATACTTATGGTGAGGCCGCTATTAGTGAAAGAACGTGTCGTGAGTGGTTTCAACGCTTCAAGAACGGTGATTTTGAGTGATTTTCCAAGGTCATGCTCTGTATTTGGTGGGACCAGCTCGGCATAGTGTATTATGAACTGTTAAAACCGACTGAAACAATCACAGGCGATCGGTATCGAACGCAATTGATGCGTTTGAGCCGAGCATTGAAAGACAAACGACTGCAATACAACGAGACACACGATAAAGTGATTTTGCAGCATTACAATGCTCGACCTCATGTTGCGAAAGTGGTCAAGACATACTTGGAAACGTTGAAATGGGAAGTCCTACCCCACCCTCCGTATTCTCCAGACGTTGCTCCCTCTGACTATCACTTGTTTCGATCAATGGCATACGGCCTGGCTGACCAGCACTTCCGGTCTTATGAAGAAGTAAAAAATTGGATCGATTCGTGGAGAGCCTCAAAAGATGACCAGTTTTTTCGACGCGGGATTCGTACGCTACCCGAAAAATGGAAGAAAGTAGTGGCCAGCGATGAACAATACTTTGAATCATAAATGTATAAGTTTTTTACAATAAAGCCTCGAATTTCGAAAAAAATGGCGGAAATGGCAAAGTTGTACACCTATTAAAATTTATTAAAATTTATTATTAAAAAAGTTATAGATTACAGATTAAAAATGCTAATCAAGCAGCAATATTTCTGGAACAAGAAATGAAGAAGATGAAGATAAATTTAAATCAAAATAAATCAATTACTTCATCTCCGAAGAAATCTCTCTTTTCATTTCACAGAACAAAGAAATAAAGAGAAGTCTAAAGTGTTTTAGCTGATGTAATTATATGTAAACGATAATTTTTGGAGAGAAATAATTCCCCAGCAAACGAGAATTGATTGAAATGAATTGAAATGGATTCAGATTTTCAGAAATATTGATTCACGAATGTTAAAGTGAATGCTTTTCAATTCTGAATTTTTATTCATACATGAATTGCATGGAGCATATCTCTTTCCAATCTAAAAATAATATTAGCTTTTTCTGTGCACAACACATACATTGTGAATACTGTTCAATTCAAAATTTTAAATAAGAAATGCAGTTTTTCAATCCAATTGCGTCCAATTGAATGTAATTGAATCTAATTGAATCCAATTAAATAAAAAAAAGTAAATAAAAAAAAAGTTCGCTTTTTAAAATACGCATTCGGATAGAAAAAAATTTCAATCATTCAAAAATTTAATCCATTTTAATCCATTTTAATCCATTCTCGTTTGCTGAGTCGCCAGACAATACAGATCCACTTCTATTTTAGAAAGTAAATAATTGAGTGTGGGAAAAAGTTCGTGGCGTTTTTAGTTTTCTCTATTGAACAACTATCTGCGCTATCGAACAACTGTAGATGATAAGTGAATATCTCGATTCTACATCTGAAAAAGCTGATGTACAAAATGTTCAACAAAAAGATGATGTCCACAATGTCGAAATAAGATCCAGATCTGCTCCCGACTATTAATCTATCAACCGTTTTCGGTTCTTTCAAATTATTTGATTTATTTAGCAGTCTAGATTTATTTATTTATTAGAAATTAATTATATTTAAATTATTAGAAATTAATTATATTTAAATTATTTACAATTATTATATTATGTGTTAATTTATAGTTAATTTATATTTATAGATGACTAGAGATGAAAATGTGGGACCTAGTACATTGACAAGCAATGAATCACGCACTTACAAAAAATATAGAGTAATAAAACTCAATTTAATTCGCTTACGCAAAAAATTTGAAATTATGAAATATAAGAATCGATTATTGCGAGAAAGAATTAACAACGATAAATATAAAGTAACTTTAAAGAAACTATTTACTGATAATCAAATTCAGGTTCTATTTGCAAAAAAAAGCAATGCAAAATGTTCAAATGATACAATTCAACGAGCTCTAAAACTCAAATTAACTTGTGGCACTACGAAGAACTTTTTTAGCAAGGAATTTCCAAGTTTCCGCATTTTAAAATTCGTTACGAAAATTAGAAAAATTAAAATTTAAAAATGACATTTCAAATGAGATTTTTAAGTTTTTAAAATTTAAAACTCAATCTTCTTCATTCGAGAATGTTGATAAAGAATGCAGCTTAGTTTTAGACGAAATGAATATAACTCCGAAAACTATTTTTGATCCGTCAGCACAATGCTTGGGAACATAACATTTCCTAATGACAAAGGTATTGCTACACATCTTTTAACATTTATGATTACAGGTATAGCTAGTAGATGGAAACATATTTGTAGGTTACTTCTTTACAGGTGACGTTTAACAGAAGAAGTTTTGAAAGATTTAATTTTTCAGATAATAGACAAAGCTGAAAAAATTGATCTTCACTTTGTAACCTCCGACATGGGTCCTGGAAATATGAAATTGTGGAAATGTGGAATAAATATAGGACGGTATTCGGAACTTAAAAATTATCACATCCGTCTGATCCTAAGCGCTTATATTTTATTTGCGGATGTATCACATTTGTTAAAGAACCTAAAAGAATTATTAATAAATAACAAATTTTTTACCTTACCCCAAGATTTGATAATAAAATATAACTTACCTTCTAACCAAGTTGAAATTGCTCATTTTATTAATTTAATTAAATCTCAAGAAGATTTAGATTTCCTTTTAACATCCAAATTAAATATTAATAATATTAAAAATCCTAATACTTTCAGTAAAATGAGGATAAATAAAGCAAAGAATGTGTTTCTAATAGATGTTAATTCATCATTAGAATTTTTATCGGACGAAAATTGTAACCCGGAATTTTTGACAACT